GTTCCCCCCTGCGGCGCAGGCGCGCTGCGCGCCGCGGGGCGCCTCAACACTGACCTGCCGGCCCTCGTTGACGAGTGGGCCTCAAGCCTGTTCAGGGAATTGGATTACAGGCGGTGAGGAATCATGTAATGCTGGCACCCTTACCCTGGCGGTTGAAATTACGGGCGCTGCGTGGTTCCTCTACATCATCCATGAACGTGCACGCACATGCTCACCGAGCTGATCTTATTTTATTGCCTGGGAGCAGCGAGCAGGGGTGTGAGGATTACATCAGGGGCCGAGGAGCTGTCAGGCTCCGGCGCTGCCACGTGGCCGTGCGCCGTACCACGCCATTCAGGTGTTTGCACGCCTCTATTCGCACCCTCACGCGCCGCGCGGCCCGCGGCCCGTCGTCTCCCCCCTTGTCTGCCAAAGAGCTCTCCTCATGCCGCCCCTCCCTCCCGATCGCCTTTGCTCCCCGCCCCTCCGTCTTCCGCCTTTTCAGGGAGGCCGACAACGGGCGGCGGTTCGCTGAGCTGTACTGCCCCCTGCTGCCGGAGATCGTAGTGCCGCAGATGTACTTTGACTACACAACTGCCAGGTAGGGGTTTTTTTGGGGGGGAGAGGTGGGATGGTTTGGGGTGAGAGGTGGGGCTGCCGTGCGCGGGCTCGTCCTCGCATCTTTGTATTGGTCAGCAAGGGGGTGTGCGCATTGGTCGGACACACGCCGCCCGCGCGATGTGCGTGTATGCACATGCGTGCCTGCGTGCATCAATCCAGGGCCCCTCTGCAACAGCGAGGCACCTCCTCTATCAGCTGGGATCACTCTCCATTGTTTGTATTACGAGGCACACCGCGCGCACCCGTTTTCGAAACTGCCGTCCCGCCGCTACCACTGCCGCCCCCCACCCTGCAGGATCCTGGTAATGGAGTGGGTCGAGGGCACGCGCCTGCGCTCCGCGAGCCGCCAGCGGCGCGCCCCCGACGGCTCCTTTGTGTCTGACGCGGCGCGAGAGGAGGCGGCGGAGGACCTGCGGCTGGTGGAGGTTGGCGTGAGGTGCAGCCTGGAGCAAATGCTGGAGCAGGTGGGGCTGCCGACATGGGGTTGAGCTTGTGTATGCGTGTGCGTTCGCGCGCGCGCGCGTGTGTGTGTGTGTGTGTGCATTCGCGTGACTAGAGCAGTGTGCGTGTGACTGGAGCAGTGTGCATGTGACTGGAGCAGATGCTGGAGCAGGTGGGGCTGCCGACATGGGGTTGCGATCTTGTGAGAGAGTGTGTGTGTGTGTGTGTGTGTTCGTGTGTTTGTGTGTGTTTGTGTGTGTTTGTGTGTGTGTGTGTGTGAGTAGAGGGGGTGAAATGGGGGGTAGGGAGGTGCACCTGTGGCCCTTGAGGGAGATTCGGGAGAAAGGAAGGGGAGGGGCGCGTTGCTACGGGATGTGGTGTCTCCGCGTCACGGGGGCACAGGGGGGCCCTAGGTCGCCACGGACAAGGGTGTCTTGGCCAGCTGCGCGGCCGCCCCCACTGCCGGCCCCGCTTCCAATATCCTCGCACACCACCGCCACCAACCACCAAACGCAAACCGCCAACCGACGATGACAAACTGCCAAACTGCCGACCGCCGACCGCCGGCCGCGCCCCCAGGGCTTCTACCATGCGGACCCCCACCCAGGCAACCTGCTGAAGACCCCCGACGGCCGCCTGGCGTACCTGGATTTCGGTGGGTGGGTCCAGGTTGAGGGATCACGCCAACGTGAATCGCAAGCGGGGCTTTCAAAGGGGCTGCCTTGGATCCGATTTTTGCTTCGCTTGACTGCACGCAGTTTTGGGGGGGGGGCAGGAGGCCGGGGATGAGGAGCGCTTTTTTTGCGAGTTGGGGGGTTTTGTCAGAGTACAGTCGGATATAGAGCTCGCCTCAGACTACGAGCGAGCCGGCTTGCTCAAACCCCCTGTCCCCCGCCCCCGGGGCCTTCCTCCTGCCAGGCATGATGGGCACGATTGACCGGCCTGTGCGGCAGGCGCTGGTGCGCGCCACGCTGCATCTGGTCAACAGGTGGGGGCGGCTGTTTGGGGG